TATTTACATGTTCTCATGTTTTACAGTGCATACATGTTTATATATATATATAGTTTACAATATCTACATACATGCTTATGCGTTTGTATGTATTACAATGTTTATATATTTACATGTTCTCATGTTTTACAATGCATACATGTTTATATATATATATAGTTTATAATATCTACATACATGCTTATGCGTTTGTACATATTACAATGTTTATATATTTATATGTTGTCATGTTTTACAGTGCATACATGTTTATATATTTATATAGTTTACAATATCTACATACATGCTTATATGTTTTACAACGTTTACATATTTACATAATCACATATTCCACAATATTTACACGTTTATACCGTTCACAAAAATGAAAACCAAATACCAAAATAAAATATGCGACCCCCTATGGGCCAAAATTTCCCTACGCTTTCGTAAAATTCGTCTTCCGCTTCCGAGCTGAGATGTCTATGTCTGGGCGAAGATCGCGAGGAGCATCGGACTCGTTGGGCGTTTCGTAACGCGCGTGCTGGCTCGATCGACCTCGTGTAATGAAAAATTATTATCGTCCAGCCATCGCATGACTCCGTGTGCCGCAGCATCGGCATAAATAAAAAAAGTCACCGAGTGGAATAACCGAGACGAGAGAAGCCTCCGGTCGCGGCCGGCAAAGGCTCGCCGGTATAAATTGTAATCGTGCACTCCCGACTTCTTCGTCCTCTTTTCCTTCCCATCATTCTTTTTCTCCGCGCCTGTGGCGGAGCTTTTGCCAGGCGACAACCATCCTAACAGCTCGAAAGCATAAATAAAACGCGAGACTCTCGTGACGGGGCCAAGATTCACGCAACGCCCGATACGGCAAGCCAAAAACCTCGGTGGGTTCCCTTGAGAAGATCCCTTGCCTCTGTTCTTCGAGCTTTAAATAATTTCTTGCTGCAACTAAGGACATTCCTAGGTGGCACGGTTCTGGTTGCTTGTTATTTAAAACGTGGCGTTTTGCTAACCAGCTGTCTGTGGGGTCTGGGTCAATGTTGACCCATGCAATTTCACGTCTTCCATGGAATTGCGTCTTACATCTAATCAACATTTCTTCTTTTCATATAAACAAGCCTTCTGGTTTGTACGTTCAATGAGTCTGTGGATATGGGTCAAAATTGATCCATACTGTTTTATGTTAGAATCGATCAAATAAATATGTTCGATGGAACTGCATTCTATATTTATCTAACACTTGTTCTCTCCATTTAGACAAGTCCTGTATTTTGTGTTTCTTAATTTATTCGTGAGCCTGGGTCAGTTCTGACCAGTAGTATTATTTCTTTTCTATCAGTTCATTTTTGTTTTCTTCAATTGAATGCTGTACACGTTGCAAGTCTTAAGCGTAAAGATACGAGACACGAGTTCCATCGGAGAAGGACTGTCTTTCAAGACAGCTGTTGTGCACGGTCTCATGACCCTTTAATTGAAATTTATGTCAGCGTTTCGTCTGCTCTTAATCGCCGTTAACCCTAATCAATTGACGCTGAATCGTTCCGCTGGTCGTGAACGTCACGAAACTCACGTGCGCCAATACGATTACCCGTGAACATTGTCAATATTATAATCTATGTATTAGGTGTTGAAATTAATTCTGTGCCATTATATTCAATCATTCGTAACTCTAGTTTAAGCAGGTTGTACTCTTACTATTATTGTAATTATCAAGTGTACTTGCAATCTGTTAGAAGAACATCAATAAGCAAAATTTGTTGGTTCATGAACTTCAAACATACAGGTGTATTCTAATGGCCATCAAGTTGAGACTTGGGTCATCTACCTATATATAAATTCATTGAATGGGTCCATCCACGAAGATGGATTCACGTAAATTAAGTTGAGTACTTGGAAGATTGATATTTTATAGTAAAAAAAATATGACAAGAGTTATAAATGATTCAATGTAAAGGGACAGAATTAATTTCTACACCTCATAAATGAAATTACATAATACAAAAATCATACCCTTGATTATGAAAATTATCTGAGTCAATATTGCTTAAAATATTCTGTTGTTAATATAGTCACTGTTGGGTTTTGTGCATATAGAAGTGTATTCATTTATTAGGTTGTCCCGAAAGTTTCTTTCGTTGTATTAATAATTAATATATACATAATATTTTATGTTTTATGTTACATTACTGAATTGTGCACGATTCATTTCGCTTCATTACTGTTACATCATCAATGTCTAAGAAATTAGATTGTCTATTTACATAAACACTGCCACAGAAAATAATTGAATGCAACTCGCGAAAGAAACTTTTGGGACAACCTAATACATATGTATATAACCAAGTATGCAGATCGCAATAAATATAAAGGTTTTTCCAGAGGAGGATTTGTTGATTTTATGTTTTTAATAAAACACAAATGGTACGAACAATATTTGAGTTTTTCATTTTAAGCGAAAGTATACGTGAATTCATGCCTTACTTTATTTAAGATAAAGTGCACACTACCCTAGCATGTGCATTTACTTCGTAAAAATCAAAATCCCAAATCCCCTGTTGGAATACCCATCGTATACATACCCTAATTTCGTACAAAAATAATCAATTCAATTTTAAAATAAAAAAGAAACACGTCATCCATATAGTGAGAGGTATCACGAAGAAGTTATGGGTAGGAGGGCGCCAAGCTTATCCTGTACAGAAGCAATCAATGGGGGGAAACATAAATAACAGCACAGCGATTCCTTATCGAAACAACTGTATTCTCAAACGATCTTTTCACGAGAAAAACGCTTTCACGTCGATTTCGTGTTATCCACCGTTTCGAGTGCCGGCAGTCATCAGAGATGCCAGTCTCCCATCACGGATTCATAGCAATGCGCGCGTAGGAACCGATTTAACCGCGGTGTTCCAACTTCCTCGTAAATTATACACCGAAGTCTTAACGATCGTGGCCGTTAAAATACAGTTACCCGTGCTCCTCGAAAAACGGTCCCCATTCCACCCCCACTCGCGGCCTCGTTCCTTCTGTTCGAACTGGGCCGACGCACAGTGCGTCGATTAATGGACAAAAATCGAAAAATGATGAATTTGCTAGAGCACAATCTAGCATTTTATTTTGTTACCTAGATGTCAATATCTTGAAATTGTCATAAGAATCGTACGAATACTTATTGCTTCTATATTTTTACTCACTTTTCGCATTCTTTTTTGTTCATTTCACAAATTATATTAACTAGTAAATGTCGTTTGTACTATATCTATCTTCGAGACTTGCGAGAATATGTAAAATATCATTGATTATAAGAAAAAAGAAGTTAAGAAAGTACAATTTCACAGAAAAGTTTTTTGAGAAATTGATCGGTGTACGAATACATTCTACACCCACTGTATATATTTTATTCCTTACTAAGAGCATTCTTAATTTCTTTCATTCCAGTAGAGTATCCATAATACCATTTTCTATCGATAATATTAATAAATCAGTTTCAAACGATTTCTAACGAAAGAGTTCTAAGATTACAGAAATAAGGATCTTTCCATATCCGTAGTTTTTTCTCAATTCGCATGGGAATTAATTTCGCGAGTTCCCGAGACGCCAGTTCTCGATCCCTCTCGCGCGATCGATCGCGTTTCACATGCTCGTAATTCCCTCGAAACGATCGACGCGAGAGTACGCGAGGCAAATCGCGAAATCCGTTCGCGGTTAAGGGGTTAGTAGTCGCAGTCAGGAAAATGGAAACGGACACTTTCTTGTCTTTTTTTGAAGGTATTAAATAATAATATTTCTGAATGAAATGTAAATATATTACAAAGTATGTCTTAAAGAACTATAAAAGAATTTTTGTTTTAAAAAAAGGTTAATTCATTTGGTCATAACAGGCGATGGCGTGGGTGGCCACTTGGTTTGCGGTGAGCAAGATTTCTTCAAACTGATGCACCTGAAAACAAAATTAAAGGTAGATTTAGAAAATATATTAGACTAACGGGTCCCTGATCGAAGGATTTCTTTATTTTCTTGTATACTTTTTTCTTTTATCCTGTATTGAATCGCTTAATTTTAGTGAAAAAATTGAAAATCAACTTCAAATGTACACCATCTTGTTTTAAATTAATTTTTTCTAAAATCCTTCGTCCAGGGACCCGCTAGACTAATCTATTTTCGAAATCTACCTTTGTTTTTGTTTTCAGGTAAACCAGTGTAGAGAAATCTTGCTCTCCGCAAACCTATGTTTTTAAATCATCGTCTACGTCATCGGCTGTTATTGCGATACAAATTAAACATTTGTTAAAACAAAAAATGTTTTTTAGTTCTTTAAAACATGCTTTATAATATACTTAATTGTTAGTTATGCAAATTATTATTTAAGAACTAAAAAAAAATCACAAAGAAATGTCGTTTTTCCTCTTCTTGACTGCGACTAACCCCTTAAAGGAAAACGCGTGGAAAATTAATGGGACATCGTAGGTCGTGTACCATCCGCGGTACACAACGATCGGCAGACGAGTAAGCTGATTGTCATTCGAAACGGCGGACGGGCAACCGGTGAGTGCCCTTGGCCGTACGAAAGGCGACGCTCCGCACACGAAACGCTTTAATGCCTGAATGAGGAGACATAATTGTCGGGGCCGTTTCTCTTGGTGTCGTTAAACTTGTTGGGGCTCTGTCGAGGGTCAATATCCCGGCGCCTCGGTCATTCCACGGTTCGCTCTAGTTAACGCCCCGGAAAATCCCTGGAATGTGTTTTCTGGATGTTGGGTGAATAGATAGAAGTTAATAAATCATAATTTTACATAGTTTTTTTTGGAAATTGATCGGTGTACGAATACTTTCTACACCCAACTGTTGAAAATTACTAGAATCGTAAATATTAGGATTCACGCAGGAAAAAATTTGGGAAATTGTTCTAAACCTCAGTAGCTGTGTTATAGCCACGTTGAAAATAATATTTAAGCTTTTTGCTCACCATTTCCTGTAGAAGATATTTATCGAGATTTTCGTTGATTCTGTTTCAGAAATTACTGTCATTCTTTCATCCCAAACCGACACGAGTGGACAAATCGGACAACAACAACACGAACAATTCTACGACAAACAACATCCACAATATTCCGACACACGAGCCTTCTAGCAACGCCACATCTCATGAAGTACACCGTACGTATAAATATATATTTGTTATTATCCCAGAATTATGGAGTATCAAAAAACTGTAGAAATTGTATTACTATAAATACAAACATTATAATTGTGTCGACGACATTTAAAGTAAAGTGAAACTTAACTTTTGTTACATTTTGGTTTTGCAACATCTTTGAACTTTATGAAACTTTTTTGGATATTTTCTTTTATAACATTTTCGCATATTTTCTTCTCGTAACATGCTTAGATATTGTCTTTCAGTAGTAAGATCTTACTACCTCGATTTAAAAAATATTCCAAAAATATTCAAAGTGCTTGCAAACTAACAGTTACTATACTCGATTGAAAATCAGTTAACTCTTTGGAGCACAGGAATTCAGGTCATAAAATAGACGTATGTTGCACAAGAATTTGATTGCGTTTTAAATCAAACAAAATTGTTATATTTTTATTAATAAAGGTATCACATAATGTAACAACTATATGTAAACACTATATTCAAATTACATTTATAGTTTTAAGAATATTAAAACATAAACAATAAATAAAAATATGTTTTTTTGTATTACTCCCCAAGTTGCATGGTGGGACGAATAAAATCCCACCATACTTTCATCATTTGCAAACAAATTTAATCTTTAGTTATTATTATAAAACACTTCACTTGTTTATATAGAACTAATTTTTATATAAATTAACTCACCTCTACGATTTTTCACATAAAACCAGGAAAGAAATATTATCGCAATAAACCTTCCGCTTACAACAATTGTTGAACCGGTATTAGCATGTTGAAAGTTGCCAACATAAGTGCATACATTTGTAACATTGGATGAATATATTACCAACTGCTTTACGTAAATAAGACGAAATATAAACCTATACACATGCAGCTATTGCAAAATTTCGAGGTGGAATTAAAAATGTCCCGCCATGCATTACGGTCCATCAAAAAGGTGGGACACTTTTCATCCCACCGTGCTCTAAAGAGTTAGGCATGCACATTTCGAGTTGTCTGTCAATCCTCATCTAAGTCCAAGCATTCCATTTGTGTATCATTGCGTTCTGCTTGAACAAATTTAGCTGGGAGACTACCAATGACACCCCAAGAGGCGATCAAGTATTACGGTTCGAGGCTGACGGAGTTCGAGCGAGCAGAAATTGAAAAGTACTCGGAAATTTGGTATCTGGGTTTGTCTGCCCACAAAATTCACGGTGAAGAGGGTGCGTCACAAAACGGGGGCTACGACGATGAAAATGGCAACTACAACAAGGTCCTTCACGATCACATCTCGTACAGGTGAGAGGTCTCCTCCTTTTTTCATTAATTCTCTTAACCCTTTATTTACTGAATTTCTCAAAAGTTTTTAAAATCTAGGCGTCAAAGAAAGGTTATGCCTCCATCCAACAATTAAAAACGAATTTCATAGAAGTGGACTTGAAAGTCACAATAGGTTTCAAAGCGTTTAATTAATACAGTACCATGAAGAAATTCACGGGACTAAGTGAAGTCTCGTCAGTAAACTATAAGTCCCGTCAGTAAATAATGGGTTAAAACTAGGGGTGTGCGGGATCCCGGTCGGGACGGGAATTCCTCCCGGGAACGGGATGGAATCCCGAGAATTTCAAAATCCCGAATACATCCGGGATTTCCGTGAATTTCCGGGATCCCGGAACCATTCGGGATTCCCGAGAATTTCGAGATCCCGTAAATGTTCGGGATTCCCGGGAATTTCGAAATCCCGTACATTCGGATTGCTGAAATTTTCAAGAATAACAACACTTTCGGAAGCCCCAGATATTATTCTATATCCCGTACATTCTCGGGAATCTCGGATTTTTTGCGGGATCTCGTGTATTCTCGGGAATCCCGAATCAACTCGGGATTCCGCATAAACTCGAGAATCCCGAATATTTTCGGGAATCCCGGACATTTTACGGGGTTCCGTAAGTTAAAACTACTTCCCTTTTAATTGATACAGCCAGCATACTACTCTTCTTAGATTATTTATTCTTTGCAACAATTTTTAGTATACAAGAAAAACGAGATTTCACCATTTTCTTCGTGTTGTCTTTGATAGATCTTTCTTCGCTAAAGTATTTCAAAGATGTGATCATCATATTTCATCTTTAATCGAATAAAAGTTTGTAGAAAAATCGGATATATTCCAATACCATTCGTGTATTATTAAAAATCAAAATCCTGAATTCCCCTTGGAAAATTCTTTATCTACATATGATATCAGTTTCAGTAAAAACTCAACTCGATATACCTATAAGAAAAATATACATAAATCGTAATAATGACTTTCAAACAACTCGCGTATTGAAATAGCGTATAAATTTTGTTCGCAAAAGCAATCGTTTGAAAAACACCGAATGACAAAATGGATGCGTGACAAAAAGTATTTTGCATTTGTTTTTCCAGATACGAGATATTGGAGGTGATAGGTAAAGGAAGCTTCGGTCAGGTGATCAGAGCGTTGGATCACAAGACGGGACAGTACATCGCCATCAAGATCATCAGGTGAGCAAACTCGATTGGTCAGTCACGGCCATGAATCACTTTCAATTACATTACGGACGCGCGTCGCTCAATTATAGACGCCTTTGTCGCATCCCTCCATTTCCATCGGCGGCGCATCCGCTAGCTGCGCTTTGTTACTTCATTCAAATGACGCACTCTCTCGTCCTTGCAGGAACAAAAAGAGATTCCATCACCAGGCGCTCATCGAGGTGAAGATCTTGGAACACCTCAGGAAGAAAGACTTGGACGCCAACGCGTCTCACAATGTGATTCATATGCTAGAATACTTCTACTTCAGGAACCACTTGTGCATCACTTTCGAGTTAATGAGGTACGCTTCTTTAATTTGGCTCTCCAGGAGGGCCTTTTTTCCTAAAGTGAATTCGAGTAGGGGTCTTAAGAGAAGAATGATGTAACGTTAACATAGAATTAAACCAATTACGTTGAGCCAATTTTTAAACGAAAGCTAGGAATAATAATGTAATTGTTTAAGCAGCTTGTAATCCTATTGAGTTTTTATTTTGAGTGTGAAAATTCTCATGTTATGGATCCATTTGTGAATCCCTTTTGTAGCAGATTCAATTCTGTAAAAAATATTTCCGCCAAAAGAATGAAACATTATTAAAGATGCGGTATATAACAAAATAAAAGAAGCTAATTACTTATGGATTGATGATTTTATATCTATCCAAATGCTGTATGATTAACTAGTCGATTTAGTAATGTTTCAACAAAATCATCAGGGTCTGTCTTGAATCAATTAAACACTAATACATTTCTTTTCTTTTTGCAGTTTGAATTTGTACGAGCTAATCAAAAAGAACAACTACCAGGGATTTAGCCTGAGCCTAATACGACGATTCGCTAATTCGTTAGTCAGCTGCCTACGATTGTTGTATCGAGAAAACATCATCCATTGCGATTTGAAGCCCGTAAGTATATATCTTCGTCTAGAAATTCTTTTAACAAGAGTAATAGCATATACATGTACATCTTTTTTCCCTTCTACATAGTAGAGGATGTTTATTTTTCTATTATTCAACATTATTTGTATGGGAACATATTTATTACTTTTCCTAATTAAATGCAAAATGGAAAGGAAAAGCAATTAAGAAAACTTGCAAGTCTGAAAGAAACACTATTCGCTTTATTTGACAACAAATACATAGAATGACCTAAAAAAAAAGAGAAACATAGAAAAATATAAAAGTAGTATAACTATTGCGCAAATATATAATATACATCCTCTGTATATTAATAGTTTAATCTCGTTTATAAAAGTAAAGAAATAAAGAAACCCAATGTTAGACGTTGAAGAGTGTAGAGAAGGATTGGTTGAGGCTAATGCTGTTTTCTGATACCTTTTTTTCCCGTTTCGTTACAGGAAAATGTGCTTCTGAAACAGCGGGGAAGCAGCTCGATTAAGGTCATAGACTTCGGATCCTCGTGCTACAGCCACCAACGTGTATATACATACCTTCAGTCCAGGTTTTACCGAAGTCCAGAAGTACTTCTGGGTCTTCCATACGGAACGCCGATCGATATGTGGAGTTTGGGTTGCATTCTGGCCGAACTCTACACGGGTTGTCCATTGTTCCCTGGTGAGGATGAGATCGAACAGCTCGCTTGCATCATGGAAGTTCTTGGTTTGCCGCCAGAACACATCATGAATCATGCGTCTCGTCGCAGGCTTTACTTCGGTAAGTTGTGATATCTATTATAAGAAGAAGATTACAATTAAAAATGGACCGTTGTGAAAATGTTACGTGGTAAATTATGTTTTTATTCTTTGTGTAGCGGTATATGGTTTGCAGATGCGCGAGGGTAAAACTGACCGCTTGCAGATGCTAGCAACTGCTGCTTACAATTTCTGCCAGTCCCGAAAAGTCATCGGCTATCCCCGCCAAATTAAGGCAGTGACAAATTCCACCCCCTGTATCTTCGGAAAGGTAACGCCTTTCCGAAGAATACTATAAAGGTAGTGGAATTTGCGGAAGGAGTCAGTCGTTCGCTGCTTTCGGGACTCCGCAATCAAAGAATACTTTTCGCGCGCTTTACACTGTAAAAGTTTTAATTTACATGATCATTAAAATTTATATATAAATATTAGACTCACGCACGATCATTTTAGTAACCTCGCAGTTACACTTTGTAATGTAAAGTAATTTGTACACTAGAGATACAAAGAACACTTGGTGAATTTTGTCGTAAGGTTCCCCCTTGGTTCGCAATGCGCGATATTATATGTCATCCAAGACATATGTAATTTCACTGGAAACTGAAAGGTAAAATTATTGTTTCAGACCCGAAGGGAGGACCTCGATGCGTGACAAATAGCAAGGGCAAGAAGAGGTGGGTTGGTAGCAAGAATCTTGCGATGGTTCTACGCTCCACCGACACACTTTTCATAGACTTCGTCAGCAGATGCCTCGAGTAAGCTCTCTAAGTAATCTCTGATTGATAGGTAACCTCGAATTCATTCAACCCTTTATTCTCAAATATCTTTTCTAATTAAATACAATCAGAACTGTCGTATAACTTTTTCGTTTTCGTACACATCAAAGTTATACAACTATTAGCGTCTGCTGTTTCCTTTGTTGCTTCTTTAACTGTTTCATCAGCTGACTCATTCTATACCAGGATCCAAGCAAAGTGTATACCATTACCTGTTGATGCGCGATCTTTAAATTCTTAGAGTCCCTCTTTGATCTCTATTACTGGGGTATTCATATGAATATTGAAATCGTTATCATTAATTGCTTGAAGAACAGAAAGGGAATCCGAGGATATGACGTATGAATTATTCCTGCTTGCGTGTACTAGCTCTACTGCCTGAGGCTCGAGTTCGCTGTCTCATTGAATCGAGGACATGTAGAAGATATTCCTGTAAATAAGGAATCATCCTTCTTTAACCCATCTGTGTATATATTATAGCATTGGCATTATTGATGCAAATTATAGGTTGAGTGAATTCACCTGGTTAGCTATCGTGGACTCATGAATTGGTGAAACTTTCATTTATCATATTTGAAGGCTACAATGAAATCTAACCAAATTGTACATTGCAGGTGGGATCCAAAGGAGCGCATGACTCCCGACGAAGCGAGATGTCACGAGTGGCTGAACGTAAGCCCCTCTTACGCGACGACGTTCTCGAACTTCAAATCCAACGCGAACACGACGACCGTGGAGACATCGTCGCAGTCTGCCCACGCTCAAACGGTGAGCGTGACGGTCAGCGCGTCGCGACAACGGGCGACTACCGTCGAGGATCCGCCGTACACGATGCACCGTCTCTATAGGAGCCGTAAGTACCCCCAGAGGATCAGCAGGGCCGACAACACCGACAACAACAGCGGCCTCGTGGTCAAGAGCAAACTGAACGGGAGCGCAAGTAGCCATGCTCTAGCGAGCACCGCTCAAACCACCACCACAAGACACGCTTCGACGGGCGATATAGTCGCAAGCCTGGACCCGAATCTCGACGATTCAGGTACCTTTTTACCGCCGATATTGTGAAGTCGGGTCTGCGCTAGCCACTTCTAGATGCTATCGCGCCGTACCGTGTCGCGATCGAACTCGCTCTCGCGCGTACAACCGAGACACCCGAAGGAATAGATCACCCGAACCCACCCCTCCGCCATTGACGTGTCACCCCCTTGCTCAGAAGAATCAGAAAGGATGACTCCGTGAACTGGTCGCACGGTTGATTTGGTCACGACAATAAAGCAACAACACGGTCGACCGTGAGCCTAAGACCAATTTAGCCCAGGCACTGGAATTCATCCGATGAATCCAGTCACGATGGTTCGCCTACGTTGTCCCGTGTGCGCGCGCGCAGAGTGAACGAAGAACGCACTCTGGGATGCAACATCGTGGGATGTAGAATTGGCTGGCTGTATCGGCCCGATCGTTCCCGACGACGCCCAAAAGGCTAAGCAAAAAGTAAACGAAAAAGAAGGAAAATACGGAAAGAACACATTGCTAGTCTCGGCATGCATCGAGCCATGAGGCCAAAATGATGACGAACAGGAAGTCGCATGTGTCTTGGCGGAAACCGCACGCGCTCGTTTTCGCTCGTTCGTTCCCCGATGAACGGACAACCGCGATCCCAAGATATATGTCACTCAGGTAATCGTAACGACGTGTATGCACCAATCGTAGTCGATCGAAAGTAACGTAGAAAGAGTTTCGTTCCCCTGACATTCGACCCTTGTCCTCCGAGAATAGCGAGAATTACTTAGCTAAATGCGCTTTGCGAATCGGTATCGAGGAGTACAGGACTGTTTGCCCGCGGATATAGAACGTAGAACACAGAGATGGGCAGAATTTTATTCGAATAATAGATGACCAGCAGAAACTTTGTACGATGTCCGATGGGGATCTCCTTAACCATATACAATGAACGTGTTTAGACTAACTCCAAGCGATCTAAAATCAAAGATGATATCGACAAGTACTAGATGAGATCATTTATACTCCTAATATATGGATTCCTTTAGTCTTGTTCAAACTTCAATCAAACAGTTCACTAAATTCTCTACATACGTTTGAGAAAAACATTTATTATTTAATTATTTTCCTTAATAAGATCATTTTTAAGTAACTATCTTTCGTTAAATACATCACTACTTTTACTTTAAAAATTATTTCTTCTCGTGAAGTAATTTTTAGAAGCATTGGTTAAATTACATTCAAAATAATCTTACTTAACAATTTCATGTAACTATAATCTGTGAAATATTTCGGTATATTTTTATAACCATCAAGGATTAATGGAAACATCAGATTTCAAGAAAGTTTATGTTTGCATGATTTTATGTCTCATTATCAATCTCCATATCGCAGGAGTTGAAGTATAAATTAACCACGTCATTGTGTAAAGTTCACGAATCGGTTGGCAATGTCGATTAAACAGTTGTTTAGATAAGCCGTTATTCGTTCAAAGTGAAACTCGTTTTTGTCGTATAACTCTGATTGTAACTTCCATTGAACAAATAACGAATCGAAAGCTGTTTATCTTTCATTTTGATAAAAGTAATTAGTTACGTCGAGGGAAAGAAAACTAATGGCTTTTCGATTAAACGCGATGACGCATTTGGACTGTAGTCTCTCTTTATTAACAAAGATCCAAGTATGTCGCCAAGTTTATTTTTCAATCGTTATTCGAAATTTTGTATCTAGATGAGAATTTCGCTCATCTCTGCACGTGGATAGCACGTGCGATCGTCTCCAATTCGTCGTAAAAATGATGCCAAGAATCTCTGGCGATAAACGTTGAACGACGAGGCGTATCCGATTCGCAAATCCACGATCACGTATAGAAAAATGTAACGAAGGAGGTTAGCGAAAGGGTGAATGTGTTTTTAACAACGATTCCCGCGCGAACACAATTTCCCATCAGCTAGCATCGAATTATTGCGGTTAAACGTCAAGGGAAAACCTGAGTCGTCTCTGAAACCCCGTGGCAAGCAACAGGGTCGTGATTAATAATGAAACGTCAAGGCAACCCGGGTGGTATAGCTCGAAAAGAAAAAAAAAAATAAATATGAGGCGTGCCCCAGTTTCACGAGGCCTGATTAGTCTTATTGTGATATTAATCTACCACTGTCTTATGTAGATCTCTCTGATATTAAGATGTAACGATCGCTAATAATGATTTCATTAACTATTAATCATTATTTTTCTTAAATATGATTATCGCTCTCACTATTATCGCAAGATTATAATTACGATTAACGAAAGTTCTATCATGAGTATAATAACGCAGAGATATAACGTATTATAATTATACAAGTAAGGATTGTACAGACTTTAATTAAGCCCAAGGAGAATCCAAGAGTTACGAGCACGCATTCGCTTTTTCCTTTATCTCGATGGAAAAGAAAGTAATCTGTATTCTCTTAGAAGATCGGCTGGGACGATTTGTCCCAGACGAATTTCAACACACACATACACACATACACTTACCGCAGTTACTATGTACTTTTTCCGGTCTCGTTGATTTCAAGTCTCCGCGGGACACATCGTCGTTGATTGATTAATCGCTTTTACCTTTCTACTCGCTGTTTGCTGCTGTCAAAAGAAGTCACCTTTCTTCGCGCACCGGTTACAAAACAATTAGATTAAATTAAGATTGGAAGATTCTTGGCAACCACTGCCCTTTAGTATATGCGAAGGATTTGAAGAGAACGTTGTACCGTGTAAATTGTTACGTTGCCCGTATACAAGCAAACGAAAGTGTTTCTGGCTCATGTTCAGAGATCACCGATGAAAGTTTGACTCGAGGAAGAGATACTCGAGCTCGTAGCTAGCGTAAAAGTCGTAGCTTGCGGTATACTCCTCGTTAGCGACCTTCCGACGTCACCTATCGTTTTCATTTACGTTTTGACTGATATCCAAACATAGACAAGCCGCTTTCTGCTGTGCAATAGAAATTAGGTCCTTTGCGTGAGTCGTCTGCCAGTGTTTCGTCGCTAGGAAGACTATTGGCACTAAGAGGATGTCACTTTGGCGGCGCCAGTTTAGGCTTCCACAGTCTTGAATAGTTCTTAACTAACGCTCAATAGTATTTAACTTAGCTTTTGTGTAGAATTAATTTTATTTAACGACGATTGTTCTTGATGCTTCATCTCTCTTATTTCTATCTATACGATGGAAGTTTGTGATTCTGGCATGAATATTGTTCGTATGTCCTCGGAAACTTTATTGTAAATTCTAATGAGCACTTCCTTGGTTCGTTACTTCTTTTGGTAGAAAGGTGTAGAGTGTTTATTTAAAATTTCTGATTTCTCACTATAATATTGCATATTGCATCCATCTTCGTCAGATTTTTGAGATTCTTTTTAGGTCAAAACGAAACACTTTTAGCAGCGAAGATGCTCGTTTAGATTATAAGGAATAATTAGCGCTGCCACTGAATGTAGCGTCAGTCGAATTGACATGTTCTTTTAAAAAAAAAAAAACCAGTAGCGCCAATAATCTTTGCCCGTGGAATCCTGCAGAGGCAACCGCGGAAGGACATTATTTTTCAAATTCGCGAATACCAAAACTGTCAAAGCGTACTTGCGTTGTGGGGTGAGAAAAGAAAAACAAAGAAAAGACAAAAGATTCACACGTAACAAGACTGAAATATAAAACGTCATTGTAGAATTTTCTTTGAAGTCTCCTCCGCGAGACTTATCGAGATACGTAATACATTTTTCACGTAGTATTTGTATACGAGCACACGAGATCACCCCCTTTAAACGCATTTTATTAGCTTCACGAGAGGAAACGATTGATCGTTCGGGTGCAATTTGATCGCGATAGCGTTGATTTTAGTTGGAATGTCACGACCTCGCGTCATTAGACAGATTCCCGCACGGTTCTTCTTCCCTTTGTACACGCTACGAGCAAGGTAATCGCTGTGCGCGTTTGGATCATTGCTGTACGTCCTCGAAGAATGTTTGTAAAGATAAGTAACTTTTTTGTATGTGCTTGAAAGAAATTTGTCAAGAGCATGCCGAGAGCTCTTCCGTCGTTACATTGGGTTAGGTACTCGCACATTAGACACCAGATGACAGCTTAACGCTGATTAAGTAGTTGCAGTGTCAAAGATATATCGCAGAAAGAAAACACGAATAAAACACAGGGTGAGGTATCTAAAAAGCACGTGAATATCTCTGTTGTTTTTGATGGAAAGCGATGGAAAGTTAAGGTGCGAAACAGAGTCATGTACAAGTTGTTTCTTTTGTTAGGAAGATGTAGAATGTTCAATTAAAGGCTTCAGTATTGCTGAGAATCTTTGCTCGATCCTTTCACTATAATATTGCATGAAAGTAAAGTTTCGTCGGACTTTTGAGATTCCTTTTAGATACAACTTCACCCCTCGATTTAGATTGCGATGCAAACGATGAAAGATCTAGAGATCGAGACGTGTAGCTTTTGCATCGTGTAAAATGTATATCGCACGGCAACGCAGTTTATGTAGTATTAATATCAAATATCAGAATATCCACGAAAAAAAAAATCTCTATAAACTTGTTAACGATATCGTAGATGACACAGAATTATAGTACACCGTGTAGCCTGAAAGTGTTAAAGAATTAAGTCCTTGTATTTGTCACTTTCATACTTTCAACGACAACAGAGATATTTAGATATGTTCCCCAAGTGCCTCATCTTGCAAGAGCTACGATAAATTCTGAAGTGTACGAAAGACGAATCCGCGCTAGAACGACTGACAAGGGTAGCGTTTAAGCGACAAACAACGCGTCCACTATATACATTTTATAAATCTTACGCGGGTTCGTGAATCGTTGGCCGATTTGGTTTATTGGAACACGTGACGAACGATTAGAAATTCACGAGCGAGAACAGGGCCCTTCAGAGATTGAGCAGCCTCGCTTACATTCGAGAGGCCCCCGTACTCTTGTAGAAAACCCACGTACATTAAACAAAATTAGTTGTATAATAAGTAATATTTTTGTACAAAGTGCGATATTATTCTTTATTCCAATTTTCATCTAGATAAGAATTTTGCCCATCTCTGCTCCTAAATGAGCCTCACTGTTGGGCCTTGCCAATGATATTACTCTTTGTACCAAACATATTATTTATTATTACTTGATCAAATATCATGAGTTGCTCTATTTGTGAAAAAATGTATCCACGTTATCTACCAAACTTTTTTCTGTTGCTAAATTAACAATGCCTCTTTCACAGAAATCAAAAAACAAGAACCGAATGTGTTATCATAATAATTTCCCAATTACCATTTCATGTAATTTTGGAGCCTCTGTAAGTGTGAAGTACAGTTAGACCAATCTGTGATAGGGCCTGGGTGAGAGAGAGAGAGAGAGAGAGAGAGAGAGAAAGAGATCTGTCCATGAAAGAACTTCATTCAACTGTAGTTAGAACGAAATGTCTAACATTTAACAAGCGTAGTGTCTAAGGCAACACACAGGTTTATAGCAAACAAGAATATCAAATCGTGTATGATAACTATCATTAACAACGCGTGTGCGTACATATGCATGAGTGTGCCTGGAGAAAGCGAACAGAGAAAGACGAAATGGGAAAACAGAGGGAAAACCTGCCAGGGAGAATGCGTCACATTATTGCATATACATATACATATATACATATACGATTTTACGTATTAAGAAACCCACGCGGAAGCGACAAAAAACGAGTTAAATATAGGGTACCCGTTTAGAAATAAATAGAGAAAAAACCGTTGAAACAACGTAGCTCCAGTATACGGAGCACCTACTCCCCTTTACCCCTCCCCCTGGTACTGTCTGAATGCACAGTCGCGTCAATCGAATCGTTTGCTGAAGAAACTGACATCCAAGAGGAAGATGCTTCTCTCACTCGATATGCTAATCTTTTAATTCAAGCAAAGCTTATTTTGCTCTAAAGCCATCATACTCTTTGTTATTGTACTGCAGGCTACAGATACACAATTATTTAGTCAGAGTCAAAAATATTGTAAAACCTATACTTGAATCGTGCCAGTACCAGTCACTGCAACATCATGTTATAAGCAAATATGTGTAAAACCGAATAATCTCTGTAACTACAAGCAAAAATGGTAGATTTTTATAAAAAGGTGTAGATATTTCTTTTTGTGGAGATACTTGGTACGTTTTTACTAACACCAATATGTCAAAATTTCATATAAAATTTGGAGTCAGTGCTATCAGGTCATTTCATAAGCCTTCTCATATCTATCTCTTCATGTAAGTAAATTGTACCTGGTACATATATATAAGGCATTCAATGGAAATGTTTCAGTTTCATCTGATGCTTATGTATATTTACTTTTGTGTAAAAAGTTCTTGCAGTTAAATATGCAAAGACATACATGAAATGACTTAATATTTTTAAATTTCAATATTTCAAAGTTGAGACAAACTTTTCATGCCATTTAGGCAGTATTGATTTAAAATAATCAATTGCATTTATTATGCAGTCATCAATGTACTTCCTGTTATTTTTATACTTCTATTTACCATATAACATCTTTTTCTCCACAAATTTACCACAAATTTATCTGATGAAATTTTCAATTGTACAGAAGTGTGCAATAATCTCTGAAAGAAAGTTATTTGCTCTTTGTTGTCAGTTTTTACGTCAACGGTTTAATCGAGTCGACTGAACATGCTTGGCGCAAAAAGCTTCGCGAACGTACAAAAACGTGGCGAGACCTCTGTCTTTGGTCACGTTTTTTTTCTTCGCCCCTACGAATCATTTGCGCCAATTGTACAGTCCTTGAGTTTTTAGTTGTGTTCATTAATTGTATACAGTGGGATCAAATTACGTGCGTTAGGGTCGACTAAATCTACATAAACTGACAAAAATATTGAAGTATACTTTCTTTGAAGGAACATTGGAACAGAAGAAGTTTGAGCTTAAAAATTGCCACCTGTAAACGAGTATTTAACCCTTTGCTGTCCAGATTTTCTGATTCCGGGACATTTCTGTCAAATCTTGTCTAAAATAGGCTCGCAAAGGATTAAATTCGCTTGGATTTAATAAGAACCGTCATCCTGACACAAGCTTGTTAGTTTCAGTGGTCAAAGTTATCGTGGACATGAACGACAGTCGCTTTCTTGTACGTAAGTGTAACGAAAAAGGGGACGACAGTGTCTAAAAGATCTAAATTTGTACGAGAGGAAAAAGGGTGAACTCCCTTTCAGGCTTCAGCGTGGAATGCTCTTAGCGTATATCTGTTAGAACAGCGTGCAACTAGTTATCGAGTTAACAACGTGATTAGAGCTATCGAGTTCAATTAGATAATAACTGTGCATACATAGCGAGATCGTTGCCATCCCTTTTCCCCCTTCCCTCCTCCACAGATTGATCCGTAGTTGGCATCGATCTATCCAAGTGGTTACAACGATTGATCGGTTTTAGACTACCCTCGATAGAACAATCACGAGCAACGGTTTTGTTTTAGAACGATTCCCCTAGTTGACACGTTCGAGACCGATGATTCGCCATACGGAGTCATGCAACATCCCACCCCGAGTGTTCAACGACTCAACACGTGGGTCAGAACAGAACTGCAAAAATAATAGTGGTTACTGTGGGTTTTCTAATAAATATATCGGTCTCGAATGCGTTAAAAGTTCTTAGTGCAAGAGTATCGAGCAGCGAGTATCGTTCTTATGCGAAAATCAAATCGGTCGACGGAGTTCTACGCTGTAGCCGCTGAATGAGGGATTGTACATGAAATTTGTAAGTTTCCGCAACGTATTTTTTCCCGTTTTTTTTTTTTTTTTTTTTTTTTAAATCATCGGGGGTCTCTATTGGATTTCATGTTATTAAATATAGGTCTTATCCCCGTGAATATAGAAGCACGTACAAAATGTATAAATATATCTTTGGTAATAACGCAGTTTTTTGCATGTCGAGATAAAAATCAATGGCGTAAATTCTAATCGTGATTTCATTAGGAATCTATTAGCGTGTTACTTTGAAGGTGTATCCATTAGAAATCGATATACTCGAGACGTTTTATTCGATGTGTTGTAACAAGCTTTGCAAAATGTTAAACGAGTACGAATAAAGAATAAAAAGAAATACGGGAGGGGGAAAGGATATAGACGGAGAGAACTATGGGGAAGGTGTGTGCGAAGTAGAGAGAATGAGAATGAGAAAGCAGAAGTTGATACGATGATTTGTACTCGGCGTTGAACAGGGAAGACCTTGTTATATCGTGTAAGTGCGAGTTCGTCAATTTCTGCCCAACTTAATTATAGTGAACGAAGAGAAGAATTGCTAATAATAAATGATTATGATAATGACATTAATATATGTAACGATACAATACTGAAGCATCATCATCTTTTGTATCATTTGTTCGTTTGTTTTTATCTTACTGCGTTTGTCTTTCATTATTAATGCAATACCAAGATGACTCGGTTTCGACACGGTATCTTGTGTGTAAATATATACCAATAAAAAATACAAATACAAGAACAACGTTTGATCAATTTGTCATCGAAGTTGTATCGTGAATCGATCGTTTGAATTTTAATGCGCGAATACCAATTCTCCAGGGCGTTACTTGTTGTACCAACCGTGAAAATGAGGAAGAAAACTTTATGCCGGTAGTCATCGTACAGGTAGGTCTCATGTTGAGTACTTAAATGATTTATTTAATGTATCGGTATTAAATACATGAGCTATCTAATGAGAAAATATACGCTAAGCGTAATGATAAGTACAAGTTATTTATCTGTTTTAATAGCAGAGTCCGATTTAAATGGAACAACGAATTAAGATCAATCTGAGATTTAATACAGATGAAGTAATATCTCGTAAGAAGAATACAAAAACAATAAGTAAAAGACTTGTAAAAGAAGTACAATGTTTCACAAAGATTTTTAACCAATGGAAGGCACAGGATGTAATGTTACAAAACCGCTATGACATAACTAACATTATTTAGCAAGAAACATGATTGGCATTTCATGTAAACTTGAGTTGTTTTAGGATATGCATATTATAGACACAAATTACTAACGGGGTATTAGTAAATGATCTAAATGACTGTTGGAGATCCTTGCATGCATGAAGAATAAACAGAAATGTATACATATGCTAATTAGCATTTGATTATTTGTAGTCTCGTTTCTGTGTTTTTCGTCTTTCCTTCTTCTCCTCTTTTAACTGCTTTTGTTTCTCTCTGAATGGAAAAAATATATTCGTTATTTCTTTGTGGATAAAGAAGTATGGTTCGTTAACATACCGATCCTCTTTGTCTTTCTCCTTTTTCTTCTGACTTTCTAATTTAGCTTTCTCCCTTTTCTCTCTTTCTTGTTGCACTATCAAGGCAGCATTTGTATTTTTCTCGATTCCACAGTCTCCTCCACTCATACCCTCTTCTTCCCCTTCACCCTCACTTTGATCTTCATCCGCCGTTTGACTGTACTGTGCAAGAATGGCATCTCTTATTCCCCTTTCCTCTGCAGTATAACTTCTTGGTGTTGTAGTCTGAAGAGGCTGAGCATCCAGCACTCGTGACAATATAACATCCACATCTTCCATTGGTTCCTTCAAAGCCGTCTCATCTCTGACGAGTAAACATTTAGTCCAGGCACTCAAAATTTCTAACACGTGTTTACTGATATTGTCATCCTAAAAATCAAATGTGACCACAAATCATAATCTTGAAATGAAAGGTGTCCTTTGTAAAATTGTATCACGTAATGAAAAGTATTTGCAAGTGTGAGGTGGGAGAAATGCATACCAAATACTGAAACTGTTTGTAATTATAAATTATCATAATTGCAAGTTTGTGAATACTTTTTGGCCATAAAATTTTGATTTTTTCTGCGTTACATTTGTACAATACAACATTAAGAACTGCAAAAAGAAAAAGACATTACTTCTGTATGTCACAATTGTAACTGACATATCATTTATTTATGAGTCATTACAAAACATTAGATGTGCAAATACTTCTATTACCTACTGGATGTATTACAGGTTATCATTGCATTATATTAGGATATTAAATACATCAAACATGACAGCAACAGATGAGTGTGCACGCAAGAAAACGAGATGCGTAATGTGCCAAATTTGAAAGACACACGCAAGCCGACGATTGAAAGAACAATAATAGCTTCGATTGTTATTTTTGATCAGCTGATAAGTTTCGGTTACGAACATTAATCACGTTCTAATCACTCACGGTCGTGTGCTCCTCACCGTTATGCCCGCGAATATGCCTTCGAGAGCTTCTATCTTTTCATCTTCAGTTCCATCACCGTCTAAAATTCCTTTGATATACGATCCAAACACATACTGATCCGTATTTAAAGCCTCCAACTTCTTACTTAGCCAGTTGTCGAAACAGTTTGTCGGGAGCGCCATGTTCGATTTTTACAATTTTTCGAGCCTGACTATTGGCAGCACGCTCGAGACCTCCCAAAACGATGCTTCCAACAATTCTTGATAGTTTGTGCGCGAAATTACTCACAATTTGTGGTGCCAAACCGAGCATCGGGCGTCCTCGTGCTCTATATTGGATTACCCAGGGTCGGCGTAATTTTTTGCGGGGCCTGGATTCACATTCAAATACTACACTAAAATTTTATAACGAGGAATTATTTATTTACAAATGCTGTTATATATTATATAATACTTTATATAATAATAATATTAAATAATAATACTTTGATGATTTTTGTCACTCCTTTCAATTTAATCAGCGCTACTAAAAAAATGTCTTGTATTTGTTAATGGTATCATCAGTCTGTAAAAAGTTAATCAAAAAGACCGCGGGGCCTTTTAAAACGCGGGGCCGGGTTCCGGCGAACGCGCTGAACCTGCCTTGCGCCGGCCCTGCGATTACCCCTACTACGAAACATACAGTAATGATTTTTCCCACTTCATTACTCCAGTGATGGACGTTCGTGTGACTTTCCTGATCATGCGTACTGGAGTGAGCGTTACAGTCCTCACTGCTGTATAAGGTGTCCCAGAAATGTTGTAACACCTTGAAAGGGGTCGTTCGGGAGGTGATTTGAAACAAGTTTTTCCTTAGCGAAAATGTTGTTCGAGACTTCGTTGTGGAGATATTAATGGAAAACACTGACCAATCAGAGCGCTCGTATACCGTTGGAGCGGCCGCAGTAGCGTATGAGCGCGGCTACCTATCGCGTAGCCTACGCTCAACCGACATACTCGCGCTCTGATTGGTCGGGATTTTCGCCTTAACGAAGCCTCGGACAACATTTTCGCTAAGAAAAAAGTTATTTGAAATCATCTCCTGAACCACCCCTTTCAAGGTGTTACCACATTTTTTGGACACCCTGTATACACTTACTAAGAATTTAGAAATGATTTACAAATGGTTTCCGAACCACAACAAATTTCTATTCGTGTTTAAAGGCAGATGCGCGATTTTATAGACCACGATGGAGATAGAAATAATTTTTGAATCTTTCCTCAGGGACTGTAGCTATGTTTGATCCATGAAGACTTCATGGTTTGATCATAGCTAAAGTACGGGTTTAGCAATCCCGAGGTACCCGAGCTATAAGGGGGTTTGTGGATTTTATCAGACTTCTGGATTGATAGAAATTGGAAAGTAATGCAAAACAGGTATTAAATGAATTTAACAAATATAAGATTGATACATTAGGTGTTACAGTCAAGTTGTATCATTTCGGACTTTTGTATATGTATAAAATTCATTATGTCACCTGGGAATTTATGTATAGGTTGTCCCGAAAGTTTCTTTCGCGAGTTGCACTCAATTATTTTATGTGGTTGTGTTTATATAAATAGACAATCTAATTTCATAGGTGTTCATGTTGTAACAGCAATGGAGCAAAATGAATCGTGCACAATTCAGTAATGTAACATAAAACATAAACTATTGTGCATGTATTACTTATTAATAAAGCGAAAGAAACTTTTGGGACAACCTAATATTTAAAGACTACTGCTCACTGAGCCACTCACTGAGCGTTCTAGTGGCACCATCGATGGCAAAACGCTCAAGTTTGTAGTGAAATAGTTCCACTCGTACCGCTAGATGGCGCCAACAATTATTAAATTATCAACGACACCAATAACACATCATATTATGAATAATATAATTTAATTATATTGCAATCATTGTAGTATTAAAATTTAACTAAGAAAACGTTGTTCGACTCTTATTTTTTACAGTGAGCTTTTAAACAAATTGGTTACCATAGAAGTAACTATTTGTAAGCTTGGATGTTACGTGGTAGATGGCGCTACGTCCGTTTTACAATAATGTATTCTTATTTTTTAAGAACTAAGCGTTAAACAAGTGCTAGTGTATAAAACATTAATTATAAATTGAATTATGAAAATATGGATACAGGAATTTCATTTCAGTAGCGCTATCTAGCGTGATGCGTTGAAACTACTCCACGACAAACTTGGGCGTTTCATGGTAGATGGCGCTGTTTCCTTTTTTCATAGAATAATATTCAATATATAATTTTAAAAATTCTCAATTAAAAAAAGAACAACATTTAACCGTATTCTATAAATCGGGAATTAGTTGTAATTATGATCTCTGTTTTAATTTTTATTTACAATCCCTTTGCTAAATTTCTAGATATGCCATTGGCCGTAATTGTATATCGGCAGTAATTGTAATTCAAAAGATTTTCGTTAGGGGCAGTACTGTCACTCGCAAGTACTGGGTAAAGGAGGTTCGTTCTATTTAGGTGCCGAAAGCGAAAGATCGTTCTTCGTACTCATTTGTGTCCGAATTATATTCGAGAAAGCCAAAAATGGCAGCAGTAGTTTCGAAAACTATAGAACTGTGCAAGGGTGCGTATTTGATGTTGTAATCAATTCATTAACGAAGTGTGAATCATTATCAGTGCTGCTTAAAAATTACATTGATCATAATGTACTTATAAATTATTATTATATAACATCAGTATTCGTTTCGTACGATGCGATAATGAATTATTTCATTAAATACAAATCATTATTTACACACTGGTATCTTTTCTTACAAAATTTAGATACATGACCCGTATGAATTTAATCTGTTCAATGTACAAACTCTTTAAAAGTTTGAAGGTTATGCGGAACTAGTATATTGATCATCTTTATTACTAATTAATTATTCGTGTATTTGTAATTATATATTTATTGCAGTTGCTGTAGTAGCATCAAAGCCGATACTTAACAATGTGCAATATTATGCGAGAGTAGAATTGGTTCCGCCAAAGGTTTCTGACATTCCTGCCATTAAAAATGGTATCGCGAAACTGATTAATGGTGTCAAAACTGGAGCATATCTTAATGTCACAGTACGCGAAGCTGTGCTGAATACCCTAGTCACCACTGAAGTTCTATGTTGGTTTTTCGTCGGCGAATGTATTGGAAAACGACATCTGATAGGATATAACGTTTAAAAATGTTGTACTCTGTGGTCATAGGTATAATCTCTGTATAAATTATAGACTTTCTCGTAAATATATATGCATAAACGAAATTTTAGTTTCATAAATAAACATTCATATCAATTTGGTTAAACTATTTTTTTTTAATCAATTTTATTAATTTTACATCATTTATTTTTGTGCCTTCCATTACACATTGTTGTATAATGTATAAAAATAGAATATAAATTATAACTATTTACATGTATTCACAAATGTAATTATGTTAATGTATGTTGTTTTGCATACTGCCATATACATATGGCTCCACTGACATGGACATTCAATGAACGAATCACACCAACTTGAGGTATTTCTATACAGGTGTCAAATAGAGGTATCAAATTGGCAGGGATACCATGTTTTTCATTTCTAAAAATTATATTTATATAGCAGTATAAGAAATCATTTGACTTTTTTTTTGTTACTTACCCTAAGACAAGAATTGTCTTTTTTTTAAATTTCATATTTAGTAAATTTGTACTATTAGCTGTTTGTTCGACACCTACTAAACACCATCCCATGTCTTTCTTTTCCAATAGGTATTTACACAATAGATGAGGTTTTATCTAAAATATTTACTTAATATTAACTTACCTACAAAACACATTTTATATTTTATTATGTAAACATTATGTACAAAATACCTCTGTAATAGTTATCCAATTTTCTGCTGATACGCTGAGATTCTGAAATTCTTTGTCCTTAATTTGATTTAAATTAGCAATAACCAATTTTTTAACATTGAAAATTTCACAAGTACGTGCAAGTCCTCCCAAATTTGGAGCACGATCAATGAGGCTTGCCACAACTATAATACCTTCTTCATCCGAGAATATTGTTTTGTGAGAAATGGATTCTCTAATTGTTGGAAAAGTGGCGTTATGTGATAAATTCATAGATGTTGAAGGATTAATTTTCTTCTGAATATCGCTCAGTTCTTGATTTTCCATTTCAGCACATTTTCTAGGTGATTCTGCAGTATAAGATTATAATGTATTTCACAATGCGTGGTATGTATATGATCAAGAATGATTCTGTTAGCAAGAATAAATTAAAAATATAAAACTAAATTTTCTTGGCATCACACTTTGTAGACTACATTGTACATTAACCATTATATTTATTAAAATACCTGAGGATTTGATTATATACGGAGATGTTTTAGTTTCTGATAATGATGTATTCAAATTATATAATCGAAGAGGATGATTATAATTTTCTTCAAAGTTTAAAGTTCTAAATAGATCTGGAAGAATCCATTCATTCTGATCCATATCAGTTAATCGAGGAAGTTCAAAATATATTGTCTACACATACAAGAAAAACTTGTTATAATTTTTAGATTTCAATTGTTTAAAGTATTAATTTTAATATTACCTGCAAACTATAGTCTTGGATGGCATGAAAAGTAGAGAGATAAAAGTCATCTTGAATTTTGCATGAGTTTTTCATTAAATTTCCATCTTTTATACCTTCAATTGCACCATTGTATAAGCCTTTGTACTCCTTTGTTAGATGATTACAGTTCAATGTTTCTAACATTTCATACAATTTTACAAAAATAACCTGTATCAAGTATCAATATTCAAAGGTATATAGGAGACAAAAAATTTTTTTAATTTAAAAAACATTTGCCCTTATAACAAAGTCAAATAAAATATAATTTACCTGGCTATAAAGACGCATGTTATACTGCTGCCCTAAGCAACAACGAGCGATATACTTTATTCCAATTGAAATAAAATTACTTTGACAATCATTAGGAAGCAACTTTGAAATGTGGTAAACTATACATGCTATTGAACTAACGCATCCTGGACGTGTTGTAATTGCCTACACAATAGATGTTTCATTAGTGAAATTCCATATAGTTAAGTTCTAAATTATTTCGAATAGAAAAGACCATTTGTATAAATACCTCTTCAAAAAATTCCCATAATTTACAATGAAGTTCTCTACTTTCTACAAAAATTTTTATCAATATCCATTCTTGCATTAATCTCACACTATGTTGATTACTTTCCAAAAGTATTAAACTACAGAGAAGTTTTTGCAATATGGCAGTGTCTGTCTATAAAAAATGTTTAAATATAGTTTGTATATTTACATATTATTTGATTCATTATATAATATTTTATTACCTTATTTAGAGTTGGCTGTAATATTAGTAAGACCTGCATAATTCTATGCTTTATCTTGTGTATATAAGAATGATGGAAATATCTTTTATTTTTGTATTTTTCTAATTTTTTTAAAAGAATTGGAAGAAACATTGATGCATATTTTACATCTGTATTAATTATCTTATGCAATAGTAAAACTGAAAGTATCCTGATACTAGCCTCATTATTATGATCTCTATTTCATGGAAGTACAAAAATTAATAATAAATTTATACTCAAAATGGTACGGAAGTACTTACATTATTGATATGTGGTGCGGGTAGTAATCTTTATAATTTTTTGTAATGTACAAATATGTTTGACTTTCGATTTGTTCATCTTTTCGAAGTACATGTCCATGTAAAAGACATAATAATAATGGTTCTTGTACATATCTTAAACTTTGCATATTTAAAATTTTCATTTGATTTAATAAAATTTTCTTTAGTTTTGGTGTATTTTCGCCTTCTTCGATTAATTGATCAAGAAACTAAAAGTTTATAAAATGATTAGTATATTAAAAATGTTAATATTGAGGCAGTACTTTAAGGTCTTACATGATTTACGAAGTTCATAGCATCGGGTAATACCAAGAAATTGTCATTTATAATGACTCCTACAAGATTTTTGATTGCTTCAAAATATAGCTTATTCTTCGTACTTGACAAAGTAGATCTCCAACATGTAGTAAAAATAGATTCTACATTTAATTTATTTTCTAAACCATTTATTCCTCCTTTTTCAACGATTACCCTCAATATCAGTGCTATCTCTGGAACAATTTCATTCCCTCCTGCCTCATAAAGATGCAGTATATTTTTAAACCAATCAGCTTTTTGTAGCCATATCTCTATTTCAGTTTTTGATAAAAATTGATTTGTAAGTTTTGCAAGCAGTAAATAACAATTGGATGCGATTTTTCCTTTAGAATTTTTTTGATCTTTATCATTATTGCATATATGGATAGAAGAAATATCTAGTAAAGGTAGTACATAAAATGATGTTGGGTTTATACTCAAACTATTTTGTGTATAATGTAAAATATATAATGCATACATATAGTGCATATTTGTATATTGTTTTGTATTTTCAAGAATAATTATACTTTCATTTCTAAAGTCCTCCATATATTTTAAAATTTCTTTCTGTGGCAGAATTATATTTCCATTAGTAAGGAATGAAACAATTGCAGTCAAATATCTATTTACTTTTTCGTAATTGAATTTATATGGTATACTTTTACTATTTTTAAGTAAAAATTGTAGAATATCGTTAATGTGCACAGACAACAATTGCATGAGATTTTTACTGATACTTGTCACACTTAAATTAAGCAAATGTGACACAACTTCTATAATATAAAAAATATGTGAAATGTTTGCATAAGGTCTTGTGTCAATTCCATCGAGTGACAATAACCAATTACTTAGCACTTCTGTCGCGGGGCATGTTTTAGATTGTAGCATCAACTCCGCATCATGTAACAAAAATATTACAAGAGCAAATTTTGTAGGACTAATTCTGGAATGTACATCGGTATCCAAATTCTCCTCACATAAAGATTTTACAAAATTGATTACATCCATTTTTACTAGTACATTTCTCAACCATATTGTTATAGTGTTCCAAGAATATGAGCCCCTTATGAAAGCTTCTTCAGGAGGAAATTCTGATAATGTATCTATTACAAATTTGATATCTTTTATTTTTTCAGAAGAAAGTGTAATTGTCTTCAAAAGTTCAATTTGTGATGCAATTCTTAACATATGAGAATGTGCATTCAAATTCTTTTGTACTATAGCTTTAATACTAACTAATTGACTATTTTCCCAGCAACTTGACGTTTTACTTGAAACTATTCTTAAAATTAGCATCATATAAAATATTGGTATAGGAGCCCATGTTTCTTCACTTATTATTATAAGAAGCCTTTCAATAAATTCAACTTGTTGCTCTTTGACATCCACAAACAATGTTACAATATTATTTAATATTTCTGGTTCTTGCTGATAGGTTTCACATTCATATAAAAATGTATTATTCAAAACATGTATAAATAATTTCAAAAACTGGCAATCATGTATCATTGTATGTAATTTGCAAACATATAATATTCCTTGTTTTACTATAGTATTATTTTCATGTTTTAATATTCTTTCAAAAATTAATTGTAACCAATAATTATTAAAGCAGTCGTTGCATGATGAATGCTCTTTGTTTCCTTTGATTAAAGTTGGTATGTGAGTTAAAGCTGGTACTATTAAATGATACTGCTTTTCTTCTAATGCTTCCAATATCAAAAAAAATTTGTGTTTGATATCAGTTATCAATATCTCTGTTCCATTTGATTGATTACATATAAAAGGAACAATTGTAGGTCTTTCTAATTTCAAGACACTCTTATCTACAGTATACATAAAATCAGTTATATGTTTCATTATAAATAATGCCTGTTTACGGTACTGTTGTACAGGAAGTTTTAAACTATCTATTATTAATAACCATAATCGTTCTGTGCAACATAAACAATGTAATATGGTAGTAGCCTCTTTTTGGTTTAATGAAAAACATATGTCTGTTATAATACTCAATGCATTAAGCGAATCTTTCACATCTTTCAATTCGTTTAAAACAAAGTCCCATACAGTTGGCAAAACATTTTCATAACCAAAAGTATTTATTAACTTTGGAAAAATTGAAGCAAATGATTGCCACTCTTTGTTTTCTTTTATTTGTAGCCATAACTTTATATCTTCCAAATACAATAAACTAAAACATTCTAGTAAATTTGATTCTATATTGTTATGTAGAAACTGTCTTAATCGTAAGGATTCTAAAAAACATTCAATTATTTTCATATAAAAAATCCTGCTTTCGCTACTAGCAAACAAATCAACATTCGACTTTTGAAAATATACCAAATGTTGGTACATACATTCTAGATCACAATAGAGTATTGTATACAACAATATAATATCGTATAAAACTTGTAACTCTGTACAATTTTGCGATTGTTTTTTAAAGAATAAGACATTTTCTATTTTCTTGAAACATAAGTCGTTTGTAACTGTTCTTGTATATTTCTTTTGAGAATTAAATGTAAGTTGATATTCGTAACATAGCAGCATATGGAACGTCTTCAATTTTGTTGTATCCAAATTATTCTGTGTTATCTCTGCACTGTAATGTCGAATTAAACGGTGCAACAGTGAAAATGGATCATCTTTGAATGCTGTTTCTAATAATTCCAAAATTGACAAATCTGTTGTTGGAATGCGCACGTAGTGGTCGTGTAAATCCATTTCGATACAATACACCGGGAAAAATACATATATTTCTACCGTTTGAGCTGGTTTGAGAGGAATACAAATGATCAACAGTGATCCAAATTCAATCCCTTCTTCTTCCATTAGTGTCGTGCAATTGAAACGCCAGATGGCATTATTTATAATAAGTTAAGCAATTGGATAGATTAATATATATGTCATTTAAGTATTTGAAAGTTATCTTTATCATATTTTGTGTGTTTTCCAAAAATGTATTCGTTACATTAATGACCTATTACAAAATTGATATGTAGACTGTTGTTGATAGTTCTCATGAGTGCATTAGTAGAAATCATTCTCAAACTTTGTTGTTAATTATTGAATTTATAACAAATCAATCCTGAAATTGGTGATTTATTTAAAAGCAAATTGGAAATTTTCCGCAACAAAATTTAAATAGCACCATCTAGCGTTACATCCACGTGTTAACTAGAATTTTATTACGAAGAAGGGGATGTATTGCTGTACTCCCCTCAAATGACAAGATTAATAGGCACGTGTATACTTCTGACTGAAATTAAATCTATTTATCAATTTGCGTTTCTTACATACACATTTATGTTTGTATATACGATCACACGTGCGTCCATCAACAAAATTGCATTGATTAAATTTACAAGCGCGTTTCATTTAAAAATTAAGCTTTTTTTTAAAATTTGGATAGCTTTACTTCATTAAAGTTGACGCCATAGAGCCTTTCATTTAAAATCGTATATCATTATATATGGCAACAAAACGAACCTAACCAATAAATGTACACGTGGGCAATGAAAAATATAAGTACACGTGTACCGAGAGAATATCAAATTTAAAATAAAAAACAGGTGATAGCTGCCGAGTAAAAACCGTCGAGATCGAAATTTCGTTCAACCAAGGCTGAAGTTGAACCTCAACAGTGGAAATAACAACACTCGGCAGTTTCAGAGAACGTTTTCTGACAGTAGAGACGGATGAAGGGAAGTAACTTCCTGAAAATCATTAGCTTGGTCAAACAAGTGGTCATAAGCCGGCATATAAGTTTGTCGACAATGGCTAAGAGCAAATTTGAATACGTGAAGGAATTCGAGCGCGACGATAATTGTTTACCAAATTGTTGGATTGTGGTTAGAATAGACGGAAGAAATTTTTCAAAGTTTTGTGATGCACATCAATTTACCAAGCCAAACGATGTAGCCGCTTTGGAATTGATGAATCGGGCGGCTATCACGGTTATGGAAGATTTCAAAGAAATCATTTTAGGCTTTGGTCAAAGCGACGAATACTCTTTCGTTTTTCGAAAGGACACGCAACTTTATAAAAGGAGAGGTACGTGTGTTTCAAATAATAACGTGGTACACTTTCAATGACCGATAAACAACGCAGAAATCGAGAATCAAATCAAATTAATTAGCAACCTGTTTTTAAAATTAAATATGTAATGCCAAGGAAAAGTAGTTACGTTTGTTGCTATTAATTTTTTCGGGCAAAGTAAGATTCAGAAATGTGTATAAAAGAATTCTATTACATTATATAAAATATAAAGAAAATTGTATAGAATTAATAGAGGTTATGCTTTATAATAACATCTCTAAAATTCACATTGGTTTAATAATGTTTCAGCTTCCAAATTGATGTCAAATGTAAACTCTCTTTTTGCATCGTCGTATGTTTATCATTGGCCTCGTTTCTTTAGAGGAAAAGAATTATATTATCCACCCTCCTTCGATGCCCGTGTTGTTTTGTACCCAACAGATAAAAATTTAAGAGATTACTTAGCATGGCGACAAGCAGATACTCACGTGAATAATTTGTATAACACTTGTTTTTGGAGTCTTGTGTTGAAAGCAAAACTTACACCAAGTCAGGTAAAGTACTTTAATTTAATAATGTTAAATGTATAATTACCATAAATATTAGAGGTTAGAGTATGTTTTAACAAGGTATTTATTGTTTTTGCTGACTTGTTTTATTTTATTTCCAGGCAGAAGAAAAACTCAGGGGTACATTGGCATCACATAAAAACGAGTTACTTTTTCAAGAGTTTGGTATAAATTATAATAACGAACCTCCACTTTTCCGAAAAGGTACTACACTTATAAGGAAGTTAGTACCCGATGGAACGGGTAGACTGAAGCCAGCAGTGGTTCCATTGGTGGATGACATTATCGCTGATCGATTTTGGAAAGAAAATCCAGAAGTGATTGGATTAAAAAGTTTAGCAACTTATCAACCTCCAAACTTAGTTAACAGTGCTAATTTAGTTAAAAACACAATGCCAACAACGACGCCACCATCACCAACTACTAACATAAAACACGTTAATAGCATTCCACCACCTTCGGTTGTTAATATTAACTCCATGAAGGATGATGTTCATCCTGTGAGAAGTAGAGAATCAGAAGGAGAAAGAATGCAGTGTGAAAGTGAACGAATTGGTAGAAAATAACCAGTGTTCTATTTTTATATAATAATTCGAAGAATATCCTAACGGAAAATAATGAAAGTTTATTTTCAGTGACTCAAAAAATATTTTAATTTACTTTTACTTACAGCAGTGGTACTATAAAACATTAATTATCGGTGAAAGAATTACAAAATTATATTTCTGATTGTCTTTGTCTTTCACTTAAAATTCATTTTTTATCTTACTACTTTAATAGAAGTTATATTTTTCATAAAATAAATCGTATATATGTATGTCTGTACATAGATATTATAAAAAATACTTTACAGAAAAAAAATACATATACATATATATATGACAAATATTTTTCGTTAGGATTTTATATTTTAAAATTCAATCAATTTTATTTTCTAATAGTAAGAAATTGCATCGAATACTATTAAATTATTTATGAATTTAAAGGCTGCACTAGCGTAAATATAATAAGATTTTTATAAGGAATCTTGTTCATAAATATAAACAATACATACTGTAGATGCTACATTTCATATACTACAAAAAATTCATAATCATATTTTGTAGTTAAAAACTAAACCATTTGTAATTAATTTAGATTATAACATTTTTATAATTTTGCATGTATGTGTTTATATATTTAATAATAAGAACTTGATTTGATTACTATTACATGTACAAATGAAACAATTCGTTTGCCTTATTATTTAAAAAACAAAATATTTTAATTTAATTTTTTCTTTGTGTGTATTATACAGATTTAATCGATAAACTGGCTGTGTTTCTTCATTGAATATAATTCACCATTTAGACGTACATCTTCTAAACGAATTTCAAATAAAAAAATTTTACTTCTTAATATATATGCGCACGTAATAGAAATGTTCTCTAAATAAGATTGTTGACTATGAATCATATTCAGTAATTTAATATAAGACATCAGCTGAATTGAGTTTTCCAACCTTATGGAATGTATTATATATTGTTTTATATTACATTGGAATCAATAATTACAACGTTGGGTAATACAAGACACAACAAATATACTGGTCTACAATAAAATACATTATATACATCTATATGATATAAACTCTTGTTATATATGACAGTAACAGTGCTAAATAATAATTTTTAATATCATCCTTCCGATTTGGCTAGATATATAATTGCCATTTTGTTCTAATTATGCGTTAAATAATTATATTTTGTGTTTATTTGGCAGTTTCTCCTTGACAATAAGAAATATTGTAGAACTATTAATTATTCATGATTGAAAAATAAAAATACAGAGAAACAATCATTTTTCTGTGTGATATTGTTGCGTGGTCAGACAAACAATTAACAAAACATTAGGAAGCATTAAAAGATTGGAATGTAGTTATCTATTTTAGCACGATGTTTTTGTGCAACACACTCTGCTATCCATACGATATTACGACATTCTTGTTCCTTTAACTTAAGGTAACTGTAGAATACTCCAAAGTGAAATTGTTGAAGGAAAGCATGAACGTTTAAACGCACCTATGAATAATAAGATTAAGATTAATAATCTCTAACGATATCCTTGATTATTCTCTATTAATTTTTTGTAGTGCTATTAAATTTACCTCGTGTTCAAAAAATTTATCTTCTAACGTCTTGTCACCAGGGTTGTTACCCGCCCCTTCAAATAAAGCGCTATATTCCTGCAATAACAATGCAAATGTACACTTTGTATACATATATGTATGCATATTAATTAGAAGATATCTTTAAAGTAGAAACAACATTTTCTAGAATGAATACATACAGTATAATACTCTGCTACAGCTTTGACCTGTTCGTAATCATCAGCTCTTGCCAATGCTGCTAATCCATCAGGATTTAATTTTCCACAGCGTGGATACAATTTTGCTCTATCATCTTTTCCTAACTCGGTTCCAAACGAGTTGATGGTTATAATAATTGCTCGTCTATCTGCTTCAAACTATGGAAGTAAATTATACATAACACAGAATATTTTATATAATCAGATACTTTTATTAATTGTGTAAGATTTTATACCGCGAGTATTTCGCACATCGTATCTGCAGTTGTCCCACCAATGTCTTTACAAAATTTGTAAAAAGCTTCCAAATAAGCTTTGTATAAGGTATTTCTAATGATTTCAATGTTCATTTCATCCAAATCTTGTTCAGAAATACAATCCACGAAGAAGGGTGCTACAGTAAGATTTGTCTGAATGTTTAATCATAATATGATAGAATGATACAAAATATACGAGTTTGTTTTTTTTTTTTTTTTTTCAAAGAAAATTCAAGACAAATTCATATTCCTCTACCATACCTAAAGGAGTATCTACCAAAACTGCATTATATAGTTCAGCAGGTGTAGCTGCCACATGAATGGCTTCCATTTGTACAAAACTGCCAAGAGGATGGCATTTAGGAATTAATTCTGAAATTGGTCTTTGATGCAAAGTACCAGTAATCAATAAAATTATATTATCGATCATGTAGCTGTAGGTAATGAAATCTAAAAATTGGGATAAAGGTTCAACAGAATGGTTACGCATATGTTGAAATTCTACCACAAGTTTTTCCCTTAGTTTGTCATCAATTACACTGACAGATAGTGGCGATGGTTCATTGGCCAAGAAACTACCATAATCTGTACCCGCCAAATGCAATTTTAAATCTGCAAAAATATTGAACTATTAGTAACAACTGTGGTAAAACTTTATTAATCTAGATAAATTAAGGAAGAAACTAGAAAAACTTGTAATTCGTTTGAATGAAAAATTTAATGATAGATCTTATATTAAGATTAATATTGATATTCTATTTCTATTTCACTGCAATAGTAAGATAGTAAGAGTCAAGAGCTAAGATTATTCGAGTGCTTCAAAAGTACTTAAACTGTTACCAATACTATTAAAATATGACAATATTCATATATTTAAATAACTTCACATTTTTGCTTATAAGTAAAGACATTGATCAACAATAATTCAATTGTTTCAAAGAATACAAACTATCATAACACAGGCTACAAAATTTCCAAAGATAAGTCTTCTACCATAGGAAAACTAGCTAAATGCTTTATAAATATTCCATCTGTGCAATCTTTCATTACAAAATTATTCCTTGTAATATTGGAAATATAAACAACATAAACAGAAGTTTATTTCAAAATATCAATGTCTGAGAACTCGAATTAAAATGAAGCAACGAAGTGGTGATATTCATCATACATACTCCAACATTATGAATATATTCAGAAACATGACACCCAAAGTGTCGAAATATCTGACTACTTGTATATTCAAACGCTGAGGAATTCGTCTTTTAAACTACAAACTTTACCGGATTATTCGATATCCGGGTTAACCATGTCCTGATTATCAAGGATTTACCGTATACTAATATTAAACGAAAAATGAACTATTCATTGAATTTATATTAACTATATACATATATATAAACATCAAAATTGGAAGACAATTGTTGAGCGAGATTTACCTTCAAGTGTCTCACACTGTACGAGATTAAGGTAGTCACTGTGTTGAAGAATACCGCACTTAAATCCACGGCAAAGACCCTCTAAATATCCTCCATCGATATTGAACATACAACCCTTCATTTTTGGAAGATCGTTTATTATAATGTAACCACTATGCCACTCGAAACACGGATCCGTCAAAATCGAAGTCGGACTCGCCCTTTCCCGTGATGATCATATGACTATTCGGTGAGAAGTTTCCTGCAGACTATGAAATCTGGTTTATATCCAGATGGCAGCTTATCAATCTCGAATGGATATCGAACATTTAAACGTACAATGTCTAAAACTCGATTTTCTATTTAATTTAATAAAATTATCAGTATACCAACATCTTATTATCACAAATTACTTTCTTGGAATTATTGTTAACAAACTCTTTTGTTTATGTCATTATTAATTACCAAATATTGTGAAAGAATATTTTAATGCAACTGATGAAGCATAATTAATACAGTTATATTCATATAATAAATATATACATATATAGAAATTATTATAATTGTAACTTGGACACTTATACATATATATATATATATATTATAATTTTAATATTCTAATTTATTATCTTCATGACTTAGTAGAATTACAATTAATATACGATAATAGTGACTTGAATAATTTATATTAAATCTGTATTCATACGAACCACATCGTTCCGTCGTTTGGTTTTGTATACTTACTATTGCTTGCTATGCTATAGTAAGTCACGTGGTTCTGTTTATACGAGTTCTTTACGCTGGACAGACTATGTGTAACGTAACATACAACTATACAACAGTCGTGTTCAGTACGATATGGTACGATGTGTCACGGTGAATGGCGCATGTTGACGGAACGTCATAGTATTTTGAGATTACGCCAAATTAGAGATTACCCATTGTTTAGTAATGATTTCAAACGATCTAGACAATAATGTCATAAAAAATGACAACAACGATGATAATTCAAAAACTGAAGGTAAAAAGTAATATTCTTTATATTTATACATAAGTATGAGTTATTGAAATTTCAATGAACTAAAATCTAAATACAAGTATATACTTGTTAAAGGTTTATTTTTTATACATTCCTTTTATAGCACCTGTTACACCACTTTTTAATGCAAATTTGGATGCAATGATAGCTGAAAGCATGAAGGACATAGACGATGAAGAAACATCTGATGGAGATGATGATCCAGAACTATTGGTACAAATTTTATATCGCTCACTGTTGGTGTTTGTCAATTAGATACTTCTATTTAAAATAATTCTAAACATTTCCTGTTGTATTAGCGGGAATTCCAGATGATCACAGGTGACAAATCTTCTGAAAAAGCCTCACTAGTAAAGGAAGAAGACTTGGTAACAAAAGATATAGAAGCAGCTGAACTGAAGGAAGATGATACTCCTATAGGAAACATGGTAAAACTGTTGCATGAGAGGATAAGGCTTTATCAAATTGCTGAGAAAAAAGCAAAAGAAGAAAATGAACCAGCTCGAGCTAGAAGATTTAATAGAGGCATTAAAACTCTTACAAAGTTGTTAAACAATGTTTCATCAGGAAAAAATATTAACGAAGCTGATATTCCACCACAGTTACCATCATCAGCTACCACAGAATCTACAGTGGAAGTATTAAACAGTGACAAAGAAAACTCAACATCCATTATATAGAAAATTTTCCCAACTGTAATAATCAAAACAAATTTCAAATACAGAAATAACGATATATTTTCTGTAATAAAATTTTTAAATTATTCTTTAATTACAATTTTTAATAAATAAAAGTAGTAATACATACAATTACAGTTGCAATTAGATTTTCAAGTACTATTTTATTCAATGTAGTAATTGCGAAATCGAGCTAGCAGTAATTTCGAGATTGCAACCGAACCGACAAAACTGTTGGTATAGTTGCCAAATACAAGGGGCACATGATATGCGAAGATATGGCACGTTTGCGCCTACGTGCAGGCAACCAGCCCGACGTACCTCTTAGTATAGGTTGCCTAATTCAAGGGGCACAGGATATGCGAAGAGGTGGCACGAAGGAAATCCGTAACATATTTTGACATTTCCTAATACCTCATGAAGAATGACGTAATATACAGCATCGTGGAAATTTTCCCTTGAATTCCCCTTCATTATCTGCACACTTCCCTTTAATTTCCCTTCATTACCTTCCACATTTCTCTTTAATATCCCTTCATTTGCTTACACATTTCCCTTTAATTTCCCTCCATTTCCTGGTATATTTCCCAGTAATTTCCCTCCATTACTTTACACATTCCCCTTTAATATTCCTCCATTTCCTGATATATTTCCCTTTACTTCCTGGTACGTTTTCCTATAGTTTCCCCTCATTTCTGTGATATTTCCCTATAATTTCGCCTCATATCTGTGAGATACTTCCTGGTTTAACAATGTTGCAACAGCTCCACTCAAAACTTCAACAATGTTGCAAGTTCAACAATGTTGCAAATCCTTCCCCGCAGAATTCAACAATGTTGCAAATCCTTCCCAGCAGAATTTAACAATGTTGCAAATTTAACAATGTTGCAAATCGTTCCCCGCGGATATTAACAAAGTTGCAAGT